ATACAAAATTTAAAGTAGTGAAATATAGCAGTATTAGACTTAATATGAAGTTCCTGCAGCTAGAGACACGAGACTGAAAAAAAAATTCGTGCCGCAAAAATTTTATACCCCCCCCCCCTCCCGGGATTTCTAATGGTCCGCCCCTTATTGAATATTACTTCCATAAACACAAAGGCCTGTTTACACTTGCAATTTTCACTACGATTTCTACAACGACTTTTTGAAATCTTCAATGTACACACCCTGCGATTTTGACTGCAACTTTGGTGCGACAACACTGCAATTTGCAGCGATTTTTCCCATTTTACTGGCTTGTAAACTGATTTAAATTTTCAATACTTCACTCAAGTTCACAAGCAATACAAAGATTTTGTTCTAATTAGGTTGTTTACGGCTGTTTTCTGACAAGTGATTGGCTGTAGAAAAAAATTCTCCGACTGTTCGTCGCCTGTTAGTGACGTTAGTGATTTTAATATGAGTTATGTCATGCAAAATCGGTCTGAAACTTTCTGTATTGAACTACCACTCGCTCCCAAATTAATTAACTGCATTTATAATTCTATTGTAGATCTGTATCTGTGCAATATTGCTTTTAAAAACAGCGTGAAAGTGAAGAATTGTAAATATTTAATAGCACTGTAATTCAAATAGCCGCCCTGATAGCCGCGCGTTGCATGTTGGTAAAATGACTTTCAACTAACATGCTTTGCGGCTCTAGCAAGATTGAGATTTTGAGTAGCTGTACGATTTTAGCCTGCTGCCTTGCTCGCTCGCTTAATGCTCGCTCGCTGCGGCAGCAACAAGTTTTTTATGTGGCAAGTTTTATTTGCTCGTCTGTATATGCGCAACTTTGATAATTTTTACTGTGACAAGTACCCGTTTTCAAAAGCTAGCATGCTAGCAACTTGTCTTATAATAAAAACTTGTGATAGAAAACTTGCTCGTCTGTATTAAAACCGGCTGAACACTTTCTATTTTCATCAATTTGTTGCTTGTACTAGTGACTAGAATACATTAAAACTCGGTTCCTTTCCAGCAACGGCGATGATGAAAGACTTAAATTGTCGACCAAAATCAGTGTGTTACAGCATCTTTTTGTATCGTATTTCACCAAAATACTTTATTAATCAGTTGATCAGCAATGGATACTTATTTAATTTAGAATGGGTTCCGGGTCTTTTTGGAACATCCTGTAAGCTGTATATAGCCTATCGAGCCGTCTATTCGAGCGAAAATATTTATTCGAGCGACCCAGAGCCCAAAATGGACCAAACCTGCGAAAGCCATGCAGGCATGCAGCCGAGTAGAGGTCCTAAAGTCGACTTCGTTTGTTCCTTTACATACACCTATCGACTTATTTCAATGCTTCAAAATAATCTCGCCACCCATGCTTCCCATCCCGGCAAAGTAACATTCATGTATTAAACTAAACTTATGAAATAATAAAATAGACATACTTTTAAACAAAAAGTGGAATTACATACCTTATACAGATCATACCAAGATAGCCGAGATGCAAGCATCTTGCAGCCATATTATTGATGAATTTGTTCGAATTATCAGGTACAGCGAAGATCGATGTAGGAATGCAGGTTAGCTTGCCGTCCACCTTTTTCTTTGGCAAAGTTAGCGTATGGCAATCTGTTGTTTGTTACTTTTCGTATAGGAATAATGAGTATAATTTCGACCTCGTGTTATCTTGTTTAATAGTCAAGACGCTAAGTCGTTTAGCACTGCTTGTCGTTAACTATGGCGTTCCGTTCCGGTCAAAATTATTTCAAGTCAACAAGTAATAGTCAAACATTATATCAACATGTTATAACTCTCAATATAATGTTGAAAATATCAAGATGAAGTTCAAACTCAAAAAAATAAAACGAAAGTTTAAAGCATATACTTCAAAACTGCAAAATACATTTCAAACCTCTAAGGATATACATGAAAATTAAACGCAAGTCCAAACTTTTATTTATAATACGAAACTCCCAAATGATAAGTCAAAGCCGCGGCTCATAAAAATAAATCGAAAAGTCAAAAATATAAATCGAAAGGAAACGGAAGTAAGCAACTTAATACAGAGGAAGTCAGGAAACGGAAGTTAACCACAAACATTGCTAAGCTCGTCTTTTAACAATAACATTCGCTATGATTCAACCGAATATTTTTCTCAATGCTTAAAATTCTCTAGAGCAACAACTTTTGTCAGATATGCGCACCCTTCAAGTGATTGTTCGTCGTCAAAGAGAAACATGCGAAAGATGCGAATTTTGGTGTGGGAAGACAAAGACTGGACGTCTGACAACAGGCCATCTAAACTTTAATTCTCCAAGTTGGACTTTCCTGAGCAGAAATTACATGAAATTTTGAGTATCTGAGAGTGCAATACGACGACGTCGACGTTAATTTTACTTTGTCTCCGCTATATACGAACAGGGAATCACTCAATCACATTCTACGATAAGGGACAATGATCTTGATCTACTTGTTCGTGGTATCTCACAAGTATCACCCAGGATCATCAGGCTATAGATTAGTACAAGAATATTTATCTCGTAAACATCCAGACGGCGAGCAAGATATTCGGTTGAATCATAATATAATATAATAATGTAATTGTTACTGTAAAAGACGAGGTCAGCAATGTTTATAAAGAGAGAAATAATTCGTCAGTTTCGAAATCTTTAACTTTTTAATATCGACATACGTAAATATCTCAGCGCGTGTTCACCCCCCTTTAAAACAAAGAATCCATTCGCTGGCTTCTTGGTTAACTTCCGTTTCCTGACTTCCTCTGTATTAAGTTGCTTACTTCCGTTTCCTTTCGATTTATATTTTTGACTTTTCGATTTATTTTTATGAGCCGCGGCTTTGACTTATCATTTGGGAGTTTCGTATTATAA